CCCATTTTGAGTTTTATGAAAAAGTATCAAATCAAGATGGCGGCCGAAGTATTTTTTTCGGACTAAATTTTATTTTAAAATCGGCCATAGAATTAAAATTAATAACGATATACATAATTTCGTTGAAATATTTCAATCACACCGGAAGTTATTCAACCGGAAGTGAAAATCGATTTTTCACTTTAACCGGAAGTGACGCAAAAATTTTGAATACGTCAAATGGTTTACATTAGTGACATGCATCTTTTATCAAAATTTCAGATTAATCCGAAAAAAACTGAAAAATGGTCCAAAAATTTCGAAAATCGGCCAAAAAATGTCTGCGACAAATTTTCGAATTTTGAAATTTTGAAACTGCTATTCTTTCAGATTTTAACAGTAGATTCCAAACATGCAAACCCAAAGAAAATCGACCGAAAAATACGACTTCTAGAGCCGATTATCTATTCTTGCACATATTGAACTGTGGCACTTCCGGTTTTGCAAAAAAGATCCAAAATATATTTATGCACATCGTCGCCTATATCTAAGGTTCGTGAATGTTGAACGGTTGCTGCAACTACATTTCGATAACAATTATTTCACACATGATGATATTGTATCATCACCTATTTCCAGGAATAAATTGGACACACCTGATGACACCTGATCATCAGCTATTTTCAACAAGCAAGCAAACACAGAAGGAGGCACATGATGATGACCGATCAACACTTATTTCCAAAATAACACACACGTGAGCATTGGTAGGTATCTTCTGGAAATCTGGATAGGTTCGCTGGAGGACGGTATGTGGTAGACTATGCGATCAATCAATGGTGCGGGTAATGGTCGTCGTCTTCAGGTTCGGAAAAAGGATTGCGTTGAGGTAATCTGTGTGGTATATCTTCTGGGGAAGCTTTCTGGCGTTCCTTTGGAACTGGTAATACTGTCGAATATGTTGTTGGATGGTGAATTTAGGAAGAAATTGGTGTAATTGGAGAATTTATTTAAGGGTTAAATTGGACCAATATTGAACTAATAACTAAGATTTAACGACGCTAAGTGTAATGTCCAAATATCACATACACCTCTTAATCGTTAGTGACTAAAGGGACAGAAATCTGTTTAGCTAGTTAAAAGCGAAACTAGAATGACGTCATAGTTTTTTCCTGAAAAACATGGACGAAGTGAATGGTGAAAAATGTGATGGGTTTTATGTTACGCCCTCGCGTCTTCATATCGTCTTTTACCTATCTGTATGAACTATCTTGTGAACTATCTTATCTATCTAATGAACTGTGAAACCAAGAAGAGCTTTATGTGTAAGAATATAGAACTGTGAATCGCTAATCATCATTTATAGTTTAGAAACTTTGTTTACATCGATAGATTCGTGTGTATTATTGTTTATGTTTAGATTGATTGAGTAAAGACAATCTTTTCCAGAACGTTTAAATCGCATTTCACCTTCCCCTATGAACGATATGTGGTCTCCCTATTCCCATAGGCTTGCTCCATTATATAAGTAAAAGACGTCGATAGACGTGAGAATTGTGAAAACTGATATTGACTTAAGACTGTCCACGCTCGTGCTGTGTGATTTTCAAGCAAGTATAGACACTACCAAAACATAATTTAACATGAGTGAAACCCCTGATCATGGTATTGGGGCTGGTGATAGAGAAACTTTTCAACAACAAACAATAGATCCATGTATCACAAATAGGTCAGAAAATATTAACTTATTACCTGTCATTCATCCAGAAGACAGTGTGTCTAACACGGGTATGAATAATTCAAGCACCAACATGACCTACCAAACTGTTGCCACTAGTGTTAATACAGATCCAGCAAAGTCAACAATATCAATAATGATTTACAAAAGTAAACAAAAGGAAATTGAATTGGCAGCTAAATCTGCAGCACTGAAAGAGAAGAATAAGATGGAAGCACAAAAGGCAGAAATACAGAAACAGATAGAAATTGAAGAGGCTGAGGAAGAATTGACTTTAGCTAGTGAAAGATTACAGAGAATGAAAACTAAACAAAACCTTAGGGAAAAGCAAGCTGAACTTGAAAGGAAACAGAGTGAGTTGGAAAATGATGCTAATTTAGAAGCAACCAAAGCAATTACAAGAGTTTTGTACCAAAAAGAAGACCCAGTTATTAATTTTAAAGAGCCTCTTAGTATTGCATCATTTATTCCCAAACAGACAACACAGTCAGTTAAAGAAATACTAGAAAGGAAAAAGTAGACAACTATTTGACATTGAAGAAAGTGAAAGTCAGCTTCACAGAGCTACTCAGAAGAGTGAAGGAAAACCTAGAGAAGAATTCATTGAAAGTAGAGAATCATTTGCACAGAATGACATATTTAACAGGAATTCAAATTATGCAGGAAATTACCAAACATATCAATAAACATCAGTTGAATTTCCACATTATCAAGAACCAAGACAAGATCCTCAACCTCCTAGTAATTATTATTATGAGACTAAAAGAGATCATACACCAGTTAATAACTACATGTATTATCAAGATCCAACATATGAACCTCATCAAATTCCAGATTATTATTCTTATAAACCTATGCATGATTCTCAACCAACTCCTGCACATTATACTCAAGCACAAATTCATCAACCTCCATATTCACCAAAAGAACCAAAACATCATCGGAATGATCAAGAAAAACAGATGACTGATATACTGAGAAAATTAGTTGAAAATCAAAGAGAATCATCACTGATCCTGACATAGAATGTTTTGATGGTAAAGATGTCCTTAACTACCCAACTTTCATGAAGAATTTTGAATATGTCATAGAACAAAAAACTGATGATCCAGCTAGAAAACTTGAATATTTATTGAAATTTACCAAAGGTGAAGCCAAAGGATTAATAAAGCAATGTCCTTTAATCGAACCACCATCAGAAGCATTTAATAAAGCCCTTGCATTGTTAAAGAGAGATTATGGTCAACCTGCAATACTCGCTGCTGACTGCAAGATTAAAGCAGAGAAGTGGGATCCAATTAAAAATGGTGATAGAGCTGCTTTAAGAAAATATGCTATATTCCTAATAAATTGCTGCAATGCAAAACATGGAAATTGTGACATGTCAGGAATGGATGGATTTGACTTCCGAATATTATTAGCAACTAAGTTACCTATACCATACCAGCAACAATGGATAAATAAAGTTGGTAAAATACGTGATGGAGATGACAGATCACCAACTTTAGAAGATTTTGAAGAGTTTGTAAGCAGATTGTCAAGAAACGAAAATGACCCAAGAATAGCTGGATTAGGTTATCAACTGCGTGATGATGCATCCACTGCGAATTCTTCATCAAAATATTATAATAGACACCATGCAACACCAACCAGAAAGGTTTTAACATCAGTTGTGCAGAAGAAAAATCAAGAACCTGTTAAGACTGATGAACATAGAAGTGCCTCTACTAGAAATGCAGCTGCAACATCACCCTGCTTATACTGTGGAGATGAGACTAAACACTCGATTTTAGAATGCAGAAAATTTGGTGGATAAGAAGCAAAAGAGAAATCGCAGTATTGTATAAGCAAAGGTCACTGTTTTGGTTGTCTTAACATAGGCCATATGAAACAGAATTGCCAATTCCTAATGCAGCGAAATGTAGCAAATGTTCACGATTGCATCCAATCCCATGACCCAGCACGTGAAGTGAAAGAGAATACCTCTCAAGAAAAGAAAACTTACAAAATAACAACAGGCTGTGTCGGTATCAAGAACACCAATGTGAATACCCTGATGGCAATAGTACCTATTCTGGTGAAAGCTAAATCAAGCAACTACCAAATTGCAACCTATGCATTTGTTGATAACGGCAGTGGAGCAGTATTCTCTAGTGATGAATTGAACCAAAGATCAAGAACAAGAACCAGAAAGACGAAACTTCTGTTAAAAACTATGAATTTAGAAGAAGTAATAGAAATTACAGATAGTTTAGAAATTGGTGATATAGAAGGCAACACATTTATAGACTTACCAGCAGTAATGAGATTCCAGTTGATATTAGTGATGCACCTACTCAAAAAATTTAGATAAATGGGAACACCTTCGTCATATAAAACTTCCAGACTTACAGCACTGTAAAAAAAATTTCCTTCGATTAACAGAAAAAATTCCGGCAGCTGATTTACCAGAATTTAAATTTTGCCTTCAGTTATATAACAGAATTTCTTGTAAAATATTTGCTTTAAATAACAGAAATATTTTACTACAAAATCTTTTAAATTACAGAATGACTAATAATATTTCCTGTAATTAACAGAAAATAGGAAGGATATTCTGGTAAATCTGCTGCCGGAATTTTTCTAATATTTCCTGTAATTTAACAGAAAAATAGGAAGAATATTCTGGTAGATCTGCTGCCGGAATTTTTCCTTCCAGTTCTGTAAAAAAACAGAATTTTAAAAAGGATATTCAGGTAATAAATCTGTTGCCAGAAATCATTTTCATTTTACTGTAAAATAACAAAACATTTCAACTTTATGTGTTTATTGGTATTATTTGTGCATTTAAAATAATCAGAGAAAATGATGTTAACTACACCTTTAATTATACATACAACTGAAAATGTGGGCGTATAAAAACAATCTCTTGCATAAAAACAAATGATGAACTTGAAATACATACTCATCACTAATGACATCTTTAACACATCTTTTAATGACATTCTCATAACTAATGACATCTTAATAACGTGCTGATCTAACTAATTCGGATTTACTAATGTCTTTTTTTATTTATGTTGACACTCCTTTTCTCCACGTTGCCCATATTTTATTAATATTGACAGAACTTCAAGGACCTGTGGTCCACTTCACTGTTTTTTAGTGTTCCACAAGGTTATAAGACTCCATCATCCAGCACAATACAGTTTATGATGCAACTCCAATCATTATTATAAGGCCTAATTGTTTTTGATGTGCACAGTTAATTGTTGCTCGTTCGAAAGTCAGGTCAAGTCTCATAATGCTCCGTAACTTTTAGCTGGTAAATAATGGCAGAAACTCTAAAGAAAGGGAAAAGGTGACATACCTGAAAAGATAAATTTAAAATGAGAAAATATTTGTTGTGCTAACGTACTGTAGTAGTGTAGTAATAGTAGGGCACTGGATCTTTTAGTTCGAGAAATCCAGAGTCCAATTTACCCTCGTTTACGAATTTTGTAATGCCTCGCCTACGAGGTGGGTCCTAACATTGAGTGTTAAAGGTTAAGGTTTATTGACAAGAATATTAATGACAAAATTCTCATTCCTTGTATTCTTGTACTCTGGTGCAATCATAACCATAAAAGGCTGAAAAAGCGAGGATGTACAAAAACAGAAAAAGAAATTATAAATTAAAAATAATAAATTAGTAAAGGCATAAGAAAGTGGATGGAAATTAAGAGCATGATGCAATGACACACTTATGTATAGCAGTCATGGGTTGCCCTACAAAATAATTTCTTAAAAGCAGGTTGCACAGTTTGACATCGATAAGACATTGCAAATGTTATTAATAGTAGGTACAAACATTTTATATAGTGTCACTTGTACAAAGTTGGTGGGAAAACTGACTTGAGGGATCTATGCATAATTTGGCGCCATTTTGTCGGGTTTGTTTACATTTTGGTAAAAGTTTTCAGACAGCATGAACAAATATAAAATTGCAATAGAAATTATGGATCCTGTGATATTTCATATCGTTGGAGGTTTTCTTATGTAATCGGATATAAACTTACATTGCGGTTGGCTAAACCTGAAGAATTAGAGAAATGAATTTGAGGACTTCATTGCCATAAAAAAATTATTAATTTTTCTACTCTCTTAGACAGAAGAGTTCCAAACAGAAAGATGACTCTTGACAAGACTGATCTAAGTTTCAGACCACAAATACCACACATGTATAAAGTGATAAAAGGGTAACATTACAAATTTATTTAGGCAATAATTAAAATACACTCACCTGTGAATTTGTATTCAGTGATCATTTCCACTCTACCCAAGACCAAGTAAGCTAAGCCTAGTCTAGTTCATCATGTAGGATAAATTTAAGTCATTTTGTCGTTGTCCCCACACGCTTAAAATTCAGTAAAACATTTTGCAGTTTTTGACATGCATCTCACCATATTAAATTTAATTTAAGAAATTCACAAAAATCCCTTCGACGTAGCCTTGTTTTGATGTGGGATAAGATGGCGGCGTGACGATAACGCAAAATCACAGTTTCCGTAAATTAACAGCAATCCTGTTATAATTTTCCGTAAGGAAACATAAAGTTCCTGTCAAAAAAACAGTATGACCACGCATGCGCAGACTTCGCTTATCTACAGACAAGTTTGG